TGGAATCCGCCGTCATCTTCTGGTGGAACCGACCTTTAAATCTTTTCCCCCAACACTTTCATTCGAAATGGATTAAAGCTCAACAATTATGAAACAAGAGATTCTTCGAAACAAAAAATTTCTTCGCATATTTTCTTACATGTCATAAGGCCACAATTATCTCGCCAAGCTTAATTATTTCCATTTTTCACTTTCTTGAGGTTAGATTTTACAAATGGATCCATGAATACCAAGTTCTGTCTTAGCATATGCGTATGAGTCATTTAAATGTTGTGTTTTGTGGATTTCTGGCGGTTGCATAAAAACTACCGAATTCTCTTGATTGAAAATCATTTATAGAATCCAGTAACTATAAAAACTGCAAAATAAAGACCTAGTTTTAAGAGGCCTTGGTTACTCAGAGTTTGTTCCTTCTCAACGCATATAGATGTCGCTTTCGTAAGATCGAATCTGAAAAACACCTGAAACGTTTTAATGTTGCTGCCGTATTAGGTCCCGGAAACAACTATATAAATATCTCCTCGTGCTTTAATGGGAACTAGCTCCGGAAGTAAAAAGATTGGCCAAAATTACGCCGAATTTTATAACTAACACTTTTTTTAGTTGCCTGTGAGATAGATATATTACCATATAATCATATTCTCAACCTTTCTCTTATTCTTTTTCTTTTCACCTTCTCTCTCTACCCCATTTTGGAACATTCGAAAATAACCACTTATTATCCAGATGCAATGGGTACACTGGATGTCTGACTCTACCTCATTTTGCATCCCTCCTGAGATGAAGTTCTCTGACATCATCGTGCCCACTATTGATAACGTGAGCTCTACACATTTGCTCGACATGCTTCTACTCAACCACAAACCAGTTTTGTGCGTGGGTCCAACTGGCACCGGAAAGACGTTGAGCATCTCATACAAACTTGTGCGAAGCATGCCTCAAGAGTTCATACCTGAGTTTATAGTATTCAGTGCCAAGACATCTGCAAATCAGACACAGGATTTGATCGACGGAAAACTAGATAAACGACGCAAGTGCGTCTTTGGTCCACCCTTAGGCAAATTTATGATCTTCTTCATCGATGATCTTAACATGCCAGCTCTAGAGGTTTACGGTGCACAGCCGCCGATAGAACTGCTTCGTCAATGGATGGACTTCCATGGCTGGTATGATCGCAAGACAATCGGTGAATTCCGAAACCTAGTAGATGTCAATTTTATTGCGTCTATGGGTCCGCCGGGTGGAGGCAGAAACCCAGTAACGCAACGCTTAACGCGACATTTCAATTTCGTCTCCTTCAACGAGATGGAGGAATCAAGCATGCAGACTATTTTTTGTGAGACATTCTAATGAGGATATTGTTAATTATTTAAATATAACTAATTAAGTGTACTACTAAAGGTAAATAAGAATTATAATTGTGGTAAAGGCATATCTTCCAATAGAAAGATGCTATATATTTTCCAGCAATTGACTGTGCAAAACCTTCCTTTTTATATGTTTATATGTAAAAACTAGGAGAAAGTGCTCTCATTTGTTGAAAGTGAAGCCAAGTTTGATCGGCCTTGCAAAGTTTTGATTAAGTATTAATCAGCTATTCCAAACACTATAGGAAGAGAGTAAATTAATGGATCTACACTGATTCTATTGTCTAAAAATGTACTTTAAACTAACAGAAAGTCTTTTAGTATTAAATTAACTCAATAGTATAAATTTGCTTGATCATTTGATGGATTCAGTATTTCTCATTATTTTTGTTATATAATAGGTTCATTTGTCATCTTTATGCATAGTTCACGATTCCTTCTCGTTCAAACTCGTTCAGACTTTGCACATTTTAAATTCTTGATCTCGTTTCCAGCCGAGAGCCTAATTTATTGGTATTATCAACTCCAATGTAGAGTAAACTGTATTATGAGATGAATTGACTAAATTTATTTTAATGGGTGAAGGACTGGTAGTAGAATTTTCCCACAATGATATGAGTAGAGATAAAGTTTCCATTGCATTTCACATAACCTTACTTTCCCAAAAGTTGTTTTCATCCAGGGTGGACTGCAGTTTCGACCTTGCATCAGTCTTATCAACACCCCTAGCGGGAGTCGAATCGTGCTATGGCAAAGGGCCTGGCCTTTCTTTAAATTCACATTTGCCCTGTGACCCAAGGGCGCTTGTGGCAATGTGGCCGATTGGTTAACGTGTCAAGCTCCTATTCTGCACTGTCACAGTTAGACTTTCGCTGGGGTTGTTGATAACACCGATGCGATGTCGAAACTGCAGTCCACCCTGGATTAGGACAACTTTTGGGAAAGCAAGGCTATGTGAAATTCAATGGAAACATCAGCTCTACTCATATCAATGTGGGAACATTCTTCTACCAGTACTTCATCACCTTAAACGAAATTGGAAGAATACACCTCATATTACTGATGTAGTGGTAGTCTCGAAACTGCACTTAAAATACGAAAAATAAACGTTAATAGTCCAAAATAACCCTTTTTGATAAAATAGTGATCATATAAACAAAATATCTCCTGCTTCAATGAATTTCTTTAGTAATTTGTATATGCTAAGTCTGATTTAGCTACAAGTAAGCCATTCCTGATGAGTATAGTTGCCTAACATATAAAAACAGTACACAAATGTATGTCTACGTAAGATATTTTATCTACGTATATCTATTCGTCTAGATACATATCAACCTAAATATTTATGAGTTGTTTTCACCATATTTCGCTTAAGGTGATGAAGGATTGTTAGTTGA